CGAAAGCTCTTTTTCCGTCCATTAGATATTCAGTCTTCCAATATGGATTCAATTTTTCATCTTATTACAAGTGCGGACATGTAATAATTAGGAACAATATGCTCTTGTCGTTTCGGATCTACTTGGTAGGCATATTGTGTAAGTAATTAATATTAGAGAGTTTTAAAAATTGACTAGGTAGCTTAATAGCTAGTCAATTTTTGAAAGTTCTCTAATATTAATTACTTACACAATATGCCTACCAAGTAGATCCGAAACGACAAGAGCATATTGTTCCTAATTATTACATGTCCGCACTTGTAATAAGATGAAAAATTGAATCCATATTGGAAGACTGAGTATCTAATGGACGGAAAAAGAGCTTTCGCCAATTTATTAGACCCCTGTCTAGTAAATTGGCGAAAGCTCTTTTTCCGTCCATTAGATACTCAGTCTTCCAATATGGATTCAATTTTTCATCTTATTACAAGTGCGGACATGTAATAATTAGGAACAATATGCTCTTGTCGTTTCGGATCTACTTGGTAGGCATATTGTGTAAGTAATTAATATTAGAGAGCTTTAAAAATTGACTAGGTAGCTTAATAGCTAGTCAATTTTTGAAAGCTCTCTAATATTAATTACTTACACAATATGCCTACCAAGTAGATCCGAAACGACAAAAGCATATTGTTCCTAACTATTTCTAGAATGGCACTGTTTGTGTAGCCTTGGGTCAGTGATTTAAATTATATCCTAATATATAAAGCAATACAATTACAGCAGAACGAAATTTAATAAAGTCAATTTTTAATAAAGTCAATTTTTAAAGCTCTCTAATATTAATTACTTACACAATATGCCTACCAAGTAGATCCGAAACGACAAGAGCATATTGTTCCTAATTATTACATGTCCGCACTTGTAATAAGGTGAAAAATTGAATCCATATTGGAAGACTGAATATCTAATGGACGGAAAAAGAGCTTTCGTCAATTTATTAGACCCCTGTCTAGTAAATTGGCGAAAGTTCTTTTTCCGTCCATTAGATACTCAGTCTTCCATTATGGATTCAATTTTTCACCTTATTACAAGTGTGGACATGTATGTACATACATATGTCTATATATATGTCTATATATCAGTGTGTGTGCCGAATTATTTATTTCGGCACATGTATATTTCTGTTTATTAAATTCCGTTCTGCTGTAATTGTATTGCTTTGTATATTAGGACATAATTTATATCACTGACCCAAGGCTACACAAACAGTGCCATTCTAGAAATAATTGGGAACAATATGTTCCTGTCGTTTCAGATCTACTTGGTAGGCATATTGTGTAAGTAATTAATATTAGAGAGTTTTTAAAAATTGACTAGGTAGCTTAATAGTGACATTTTATTCAATTTTGTATTTATTAATTTTTATTAAACTCCTAACAACCGTAACTTAGCTCTTTATGTCCGTTTCAGTCCTTTCATAGATTTGTTCTATAGAGCTTTTATTATTTGTATAATAATTAATAATTTATAAATTATGATTTATAATTCAGTCTCTCACTTCACAATAACGATAGCTGTACCTTAGTTTCGTTAAATTTAATACGTTCGGTGACTAATATTTGTGCTTATGTAAAATATGATTAAGAGATATCTCATTTGTAATTTAACTTCTCCAGGTACAACTTAATTTTCCATTTGTTTAGTTAGAATGTTGTTTTACTAAAGTAAAGTTGCATTATATATCTAACGAATTACTATAAAACTATCATATGAATGTGTAAATACTGGGAGATTAATGATGCATATATGTATGTATACAGAATGCTTTGTAAAATCATCGTGTTTGACTATAAATTTTTTGCTAATTTAGAGACCGGTAATTTTTTCTCAGCAAAACTACAAAGGAGGTAGTCATTTATTATATTATTAAACTCTAATCCATATTTAATAACATGTTCTTTTGCGGTTACGCATCAAATAAAAATTTTATAAAACTTTGAGTTTGTTAAAAAAATACGAATTTATTGCTTATCTCGTCTCTCGTAAATTCCAGATTATTTTAACATCCTGTATACAATATTATGATATTTTGATAGTTCCGCACATACGTTTTATGTACGTATAAGTCACGCCTGGATAAAAATATTTACAAAAGACATATACAATGTAATCACAATAACTAAATGACCAAACATTACAATTCTTTTTTATCTATAAAGCACATAAACATCTTATATTTATTTCTCTTTTAATCCAATTTGTATTTAATTATTTACATCAAATGATTTTTGACAATATTGTCATCAGAGATCATATTTCGCAAGGAATCAATTAATTTTTGCAATAAATAACCAGAAATGATAATTGCAATTATACTTTCGCAAAATCGCAAGATCGGCATTGTTTGGAGAATAGAAAGCGATTAAATTATAGTTATTGGACTATGTCAGGGAGATGCGTTGTAATTGTTTACATAGTGATATTATACATCTATATTTTCAATTATTACTGTTTTTTAGTATAGCCACATACATATAGTATGTAATATGAACATATTGGTGCCGACTAAAATTGCGACGCGCTTAAATGATCATAAAGTTTACACTTGTTCTGGTGAAAACCTCATGAAATAATTACACCCTTGCGCAAAATTATGACCGAGAGACACAGTTTCTTACGTCTTATAACAGACTTACTTCCGCTTTTTCGTTTGACCGGAATGAAAGCGGCCTCCTTCTCCACGGATTCTGTTCATCGCGTGTCGATGTCGGGACTCGTGAAGGTATTTCTGTAGAAATAAATGGTTTCCTCATTATTCCTCGAATACTAGATACGGTTTTCTCAGCTTTTCTACCTGCGTTCCTTTTGTCACAAACCTTTCACTTTCTTTGTCCTTGAAAACTTCTAACTCTCATTCTGTAGTAAATTTTCGTTCAAATACATATTAAATTTTCTTCTAATTTAATTTATATATATATATATATATATATATATATATATATATATATATATATATATATAT